TTGGTTCTGTATCTAAAAATTCATCTCCAAATCCCAGGTCCTTTAGATATTCTCCTGTGTTATCTTCTAGGAGTTTACTTGTCTTGCATTTTAGATTTTGATCTGTGACGTGTTTTGACTTAATTTTTCTGTGTGTGTTCCCTTGTGGATATCTATTATTTCCACCAATGTTTGTTTAAAAGACTTTGTTTTTCATTTGAATTGCCTTCCTTCTTTGTCAAAGATCACTTGACTATATATTGTGTGGGTTGATAGGAAAAGCAATAGACTCACGTATTCTTCAACCTTGCTATACTCTCTTATTAATTCCAGGAGTTATTTCTGTTGTAAATTCTTTCAGAGGTTTCACAGAGACAGTCATGCCATATGGAACAAATGTGATTCATAAAGATTTCATAAAGATATTCTTTCTTAATAAGTGAAAGTTCCCCTTTATTACTAGTTTGTTATCATAAGTGGAAGTTGGATTTTATCAAATCCTTTTTTATTTTCATTTCTCTCTCCTTTCCCTTCTCATATTAGTAATTTCTGTCTTCCATCTTTTTTTTATCTTGACTAGATGTTAAGCAATTTTGTTAGACTTGTGAAAGAACCAGCTGTTTTTGTTTTTTCTCCATTGATTTCCCACAATGACATTGATTTCTTTGCTGATTTGTATAATATCTTGTATTGTGCTTAATTTGGGTTTCATTTGCTCTTCTTTTTATTGTTTCCTAAGGTAGATGCTTACATTATTTTTTTTTAATAATTTTATTTATTTATTTTTCCCCCAAAGCCCCAGTAGATAGTTGTATGTCACAGCTGCACATCCTTCCAGCCGCTGCATGTGGGACGCGGCCTCAGCATGGCCAGAGAAGCGGTTCCTCAGTGCGCGCCCGGGATCCGAACCCAGGCCGCCAGCAGCAGAGTGTGCACACTTAACCGCCAAGCCATGGGGCCAGCCTGATGCTTACGTTATTGATTAGAGATCTTTGGTGTTTCCAGTGTATTTGTTCCATGGCATAAATTTACCTCTAGGCACTGCTTTTGCTGCATCCAAGAACCTTTGGTATGTTGTGTTTTCATTTCATTAAGTTCAAAATAATTTTTATTTCTTTTGAGACTTCTTCATTTATCCTATGTATTATTTAGAAGTATGTTGTTGAATCTCCACGTATTTGGGTTTTTCCAGCTATCTTGCTGTTATTGACATCTACATGAATGCCTGTGTGGTGTGAGAGCATATTTTATTTGATTTCTCTTCTTTCAAATTTTTAAGGTGTGCTTTATGTCCCAGAATGTGGTTTGTCTTGGTGAATGTTCCATGTGACCTTGAGAAGAATGTATATTCTGCTGTTGTATGAAGTATTCCATAGATTACAATGAAATCCAGTTGTTTCAAAGTGCTGTTCAGTTCACCTCTGTCCTTCCTCATTTCCTGCCTACTGGAATTTATAATTCCTGATAAGGGTATGTTGAAGTATATGCTTATAGGACTGGATCCATCTATTTCTCCTTGCATTCTATCAGTTCTTGACTCATGTATTTTGCCCCTCTGTTGTTCTGCAGTTACACATGAAAGATTGCTGTGCCTTCTGGGAGAATAGATCCCTTTATCAGTATTTAATGCTCCTCTATTTCTCTGAATCTTTTTTGGTTTGGAATCTGCATTGCCTATAATTCACATACCTATGGCAACTTTCTTTTGATTACTGTTGGGATGGTCTATTTTTCTCCATCCCTTCACCCTTCATGTATCTTTGTCTTTATTTTGAAAGTAGGTTTCTTGTAGACAACATATAATTGTGTTTTTTGAAATCTGATATTACAGTATCTTTCAATTGTTTTGAGACCATTGATGAGTAAAGTGGTTACTGATACACGTGGATTAATATTAACTAAATCTCTTCCTGTTTTCTATTTTGCCCCTGTTCTTTGGTTCTTTGTTTCTTTTTGCCTTCTAACTTTTTTCCATCTTCTCTGGCTGAAATTGAGCATTTTTTCTGATTCTTTTTTATCTCCTCTCCTAGCATATCAGTTACACAATTTTTAAAAAACATTTTTTAGTGGTGTCCTTGAGTTTTCAGAATATATTTATAACTAACTCACCTCCTCTGCCAAATAACACTATACCACTTCATGTTGTGCAAGTACCTCTTAACAACTGTTCTCAATTTCTCCCTCCCTGTCCCTTGTCAGATTGCTGCCATTTATTTCACTTCTACATAAGCTTCTCATTTCCAGATACATTGTTGCTAGTATTATTTTAAACAAAATGTCATCTGTTATATTAATTATAAGAAATATAAAAGTTATTTTACCTTCATTTTTTCTTTTTTTAATCCTCTGCATTTATCTTTTGAATTCTTTTTGATACATTTTTGAACATTTCATTCAAAGTAGGTGTACTCATGACAAATTTCCTCAGCTTTTGTCCGAGAAAGTCCTTATTTTTCCTTTATTTTTGAAGGACAATTTTGCTTAACAGAATTCTAGGAGAGTGTTCTTTTATTTTCAAAACTTTAAGTATTTCACTCTACTCTATTCTTGCTTGCATGGTGTTTGAAAAGAAGTATAATTTATTTCAAATCTTTGTTTCTTTAAACCAAAGGTGTGTTTCTTCTCTGGCATTTCTCAATATATTCTGTGTCTTTGATTTTTCTCTAGTTTGAATGTGATATCCTTGGGTGTGCACTTTTGTAGTTTATCATGTTTTGTGTTCTCTGAGCTTCCTGGATGTACAATGTGCTGCCTATTATTAATTTTAGGATATTTTGGTGATAATTACTTCACTTGTTTCTTCTGTTTCTTTCTTTCTTTTCCTTCAAGTATCCCCATTGTACGTATTTTAAACCTTCTGTTAAGGCACTTCTGGGTTGTCCTAGGCTTCATGAATATTGTATCCTGTTTTTTTGTTATTTTCGTCTTTGCGTTAGACTCTGGTAAAGTAGATTTTTTGTTTAGTACAGGCCTTGTTAAGAACAGAGTATCTGGGCCGGCCCTGTGGCTTGGTGGTTAAGTGCGCGCGCTGCAATGCTGGTGGCCCGGGTTCGGATCCCGGGTGCGCATCGAGGCACCACTTCTCCGTCCATCCTGAGGCCGAGTCCCACATACAGCAACTAGAAG